GGCAGGAGCGGCCTTCTGGGTCTTGGGCTGGCCGGTGATAGGTGCCCTTGAGGGGGCGGGTTTTGGTGCCCCCGTATCCTTTGCCGATGATCCGGGTTTGGCCGGAGCAGCAGCTGAAGCGGCCGAACGTGCCGCTGGTGTCGCATCCTTTTTGGGACCGCCATATGTTTTTGCGGCCATTTTCTTTCGGGGTGCCGGTGTGGGGGCAGCGCCTTTCGCCTCGTGAGCGAGGGGCGGTCTCGCACGCTCCACCTTGGAGCTGCGTGCCTCCGAGATTAAGAGTTGCCGCCTCAGCTCTTCGGCCTCGCTTTCATCTTCCACTTCGGGCGGAGGGGGAACGGGGGCCGAGCTGCGCTGCTTCTCTACCAGGTCGTTGACCACCGTGCGCAGCTCTGCCATATCGACCTTGATTTGGCCGTTTTCAGCTCGCAGGTGGCCGTTCTCTTCGCTAACCTGCGCAAAGCGGGCGTGCATCAGGTCCAGCTCTCGCCGCAGGTCCGCGTTCTCCTTATCAGTCGTGCGCTCCACCACCTCCACCAATATCTCCTCCATCGAGGCGGCTGAGGATTTGAGGGCCCGTAGGTAATCANTTTTTGGGACCGCCAGATGTTTTTGCGGCCATTTTCTTTCGGGGTGCCGGTATGGGGGCAGCGCCTTTCGCCTCGTGAGCGAGGGGCGGCCTCGCACGCTCCACCTTGGAGCGGCGTGCCTCCAAGATTAAGAGGCGCCGCCTCAGCTCTTCGGCCTCGCTTTCATCTTCCACTTCGGGCGGAGGGGGAACGGGGGCCGAGCTGCGCTGCTGCTCTACCAGGTCGTTGACCAGCGTGCGCAGCTCTGCCATGTCAACCTTGATTTGACCGTTTTCAGCTCGCAGGTGGCCGTTCTCTTCGCTCACCTGCGCAAAACGGGCGTGCATAAGGTCCAGCTCCCGCCGCAGGTCCGCGTTCTCCTTGTCCGTCGTGCGCTCCACCACCTCCACCAATATCTCCTCCATCGAGGTGGCTGAAGATTTGAGGGCCCGTAGGCAGTCACCCCTTAAGCCCGCGCTCGACTTCGTCGCCACCGCGGACACAAGTTTTTTAATAATGTTTAATCTACGGAGAGGGTCATAGGGACCCACCTCCGTCAGGGAGCGCTCCAGTCGCTCGACCTCTCCCACCTCTGTCCCATTCGGTGCCTTTCGGCAGGCGGCCCTGGACTGCGCCAAGGAGGCAGCATCCAGTCCGCGGGAAGAAACGTCACAATTAGTGGCGAGCGACGCCGCAGCAGTCGCCGGCCCTTCCGCCAACGCCATATATTTGGCGCTGGCAGGCTCACCCTCCGAGGAGTCAGACGGAGCGGAGGACGCCGGCCGTCGAGCCGACTTCCGCTTCCGCCGAGTCCGTTGCCGAACATTATCGGCGAACAGAGCCGGAGTTTCCCTCCCACTGGACGCGTCGCCCCTCGCGGAGCTTCGCGCCGAGTGCAGGGAAATCAGGCTGTCACAGCGCTCCAGTAACACGGTGGGAACTCGGTCCCTTACGCGACCCGTGCCGTCGCCCCCTTCGTCTTGACAAAGTTTGCCCCCCCCAGAAACGGTGGGGCAGCGTGCGGCCGATCGCTCGACCGCACGGAGGGATTCTCCCCCCGCAGAGCGGGAGGTACCCTCCTGGGGTAATAATTCTTTAACTGTTGCCATTTTCATTTTTCCTTTTTGATTAACCAGGGGTCGGTCCCCTGGGATCTGGTTGGTACCCTTGGGACTGGACTCCCTCCAGCCATTCATCCCATCGCCGGGCACCAGAGCTTAGGATTGGGGTATTTTTTAAAGAGGTTTACGTCCTCGCGGCCCCGTGCCTCGCGGCAGCGGCCCCCGTCCCCCACGCGGTGAGGATTACGGGTTGGCCGGCGGCCTGCCGAGTGCAACGAGCAACACGACAGACCACCGCCCGACGCTCAAGAGAGCAACTACGACGAAGCCACGCCGGTATACCGGTACCCCCCTCTGGAGGGCGTGCCCCTGTAGCTGAAGCCGGGGACATGGCGACCAGCGGCCGGAAGATGCGTAAGCAACGCCGGCTCACTTCTCCATCGAAGGGCAGGCCAAAAGTGGCCCACCATCACCCATGGGTTAGGTCCGAAACGGGTCGGACGTCACCCGAAAAAACAAAAAGGGGAAGAAGGGGAAGAGAGAGGGAGCCCGAGCGTCTCCAGGAGGAACACCCTTCAGCGAGTGAAGGGCGTGGAGAGCCCGCAACTCCCCCTGCTGGTTTTGGTCCGCGTCATCCGATCTCTTTCGTTGCAAAGCCTAACTAGGCTACCCTACTCCTACACCTAGCCTACCTACCTAACACCTAGAAATCCTTGCAACGAAAAAGATCGGACGATACCCCTGGGAGTGGGACTGTTCCCAGAGGATCCCGTTATCCGCCACCTACGGACGCGCCCGGTGGAAGTCCAGCAAAACTCCCCCACAGACGGNCGCGGTAGCCCCCCTACCTCATCCGGGTTCTGACCTCGGAGGGGATCGGACGTCGGGTGTAAGAGTGCAGGGGAGTCGTTTAGTGGGTGGGTCCTAAAATCCTTGGGCCCGCGGTCTGCTCACAACACCATGCAGATCGTTGAGTCTCACATACCCCGCGCGCCCCTTTTGCGCGGGGACCTCGTAGGAGGTTCGGCCCTCTACCCGAAAAAAAAAAAAAAAAAAGGTGCCAATAACTAATTCTATTGATCCAGATTTGTTCTCTTCAGACAATAGTTCCTTGAGTGCAATAAAAACTGAAGGTGTAGCAGCTAAAAAACAGATTATCCAGTGTGTTGGTTTGCTTTCAAAAAGTTCTAAAGGACCTAACATAGTATCTAGTGCAAGTACGTCGACAACAGCTGATGTGAATGTGAGTGAAAGTAACGAAAAACCTAAGAAAACAATTTACGAATCCAATTCAATATTTATCAGCCCGTCGACAAAAAAACATTTCAGTCTATTGGATCAGGTGCCAATAACCAAACCCGTTGATCCTGATTTGTTGTCCTTAGACAATATTTCCTTGAGTAGTTTGTTGCCGCCTCTCGAAAGATCTTTAAATACTGACCTCGTGAATGAACTACTGTCAACACCAAAAAGCAAAAGAACAAAAGGATTTTCACCCTACAATACCCCGACAAGTTCTGTGTCTAGAAATTCCGATGGGAATATTAAAGTCCACCGCACGCCGACGTTTTCTAAGAAAAACAAGACTACACTTCAGATTGGTGATTATCAAGAAGAAAATTAAGATAATTTAAGCGCATCTTCACCAAGGATCTCAAAAGAAGCAAAGTTATCAAATTTCAATAATAATTATATTCCATACCAAGGCTCAGTGAGAAGTGAAGATGACCTAGACGGTAAACTACTGCATCACAACGTTCTAACTGCTGCTGAGTATCAATCATCTGAAGACGAAGAGATATTTGATCTAAAACCACCAAAGACTAAGCCGACTGCTTCTAAAACACAAACACATGGAGAGAAAAAACAAATAAACCAACTCGGCATAGAGAAACCGAGCCAAGATCATATAGAACCAAATATAGAATATAAAGAATTGGTCTTACCTGAAATAAAAGAAGTAACTCAACCACAACGCTCAAATTTGACCTTTGAAATAAATTTAAATGTGGAGCATTGTTCTGACAATGAGTCTTCTATTAACGATAATAGCTCAGATTCTGAAGAAATGTGCGATTCTGACACATTTGATGAAATCTATGATAGTGATTCCGACTCGAACGATACCTCAGTAATAGACCAAAATATAGCGAGTGAAGTAAATATAGAGAATGTGGAAGAATGGACAGAAATTGCTAATAATGATGAAATTGATTTTGCTGAGTACCCTCTAAAAAGTATAATAAATATTTCCCCAGATGTACAACTATAGGAACCCGTGGACTACTACAAATTATTTGTGACCGATGAAGTTATCAAAGCAATGGTGGAAGAAACTAATAAATATGCAGCGGAATTCATAAATTCACATGTCCTAAAGCCAAAGTCTCGCATTCACAAATGGAAGAATACAACTATAGAAGAAATGGAGCGATTTATGGAGGTGTTAATGGTCATGGGTATCAGTAAAGTACCAAATTTGCATTGGTCTAAAAAGAGCTGCTACCGAAATGCAAATTTTGCAAATTATTGCAAATTTGATCACAAGAGATAGATTTTTGCTTTTATTGAAATTTTGGCATTTCAGCGATAATGTAAATAATGGAGATAAATTATACAAGATTCGGAAGATACTGGACATTGTATTCAAATTATTTACTGAAATATTGAAGCCAGGAAGATTCATAGTGATCGATGAAACAGTAATCCCTTGGAAAGGACGTCTTAACTTTCGTCAATATATCAAAAATAAAGCTCACAAATATGGCATCAAGCTATACAAATTGTGCACACCTGAGGATTACACTTACTCGGTGATTGTATACACGGGAAAGGATGAAGAAAAGTCGGGCGCTGGACATGGTTACAATGTAGTAATGAAATTGACTAAGAACTTACTGGAAGAGGGTCGAATTTTAATAGCAGACAACTTTTATACATCTGTTCCATTAGCTGAAGAATTACTAAAAAAGAAGACATTTATGTGTGGTACACTTAGAACCAACAGAAGAGGACTACCTAAGCCCTTCATAAGTAAAAAAATAAAGAAAGGACAAGTTATTGGAAACATGAACAAGAAAGGGGTCAAAGTAGTAAAGTGGATGGATAAACGCCAGGTTACAATGATGACGACTGTTAAAGAGCACGACGCGAGTTTGATAGATACGGGGAAAGTGTCAAGAGCAACAAAGCAGCCAATAACGAAGCCACCAAGTATTATTATGTACAATGAAAATAAGAAAGGAGTTGATTTTAGTGACCAAATGACCGCGTATTACTCAACACTTTTGAGAGGACTGAAATGGTATCGCAAGTTAATGATGAATGTCTTATTTGGAACTTGCACAGTAAATGCATGGATTGTGCATGAAATGGTAAATGAGGACCAAATGAGCTTGTTGACTTTCTTGGAGTCTGTTGGTCAATCTATGACAAAGACACAATTTACCGATTTAATTGACAATGAGTCAAAAAAACGCATAGTTCACACTTTGATAAGGAAGGAGAAATTTAAGAAATGTCATCCCTGCTACCGTTCATTAAGAAAAGAGTTCACTAGCCGAGAGACTGACAAGAAAGTTAAAAAAGTTCGCACTTTTTGCCAAGAATGCCAAAAAGCCATGTGTTTAGAATGCTACAATAAAGTGCATTCTGTTGGTTAAATAAAAGTATAAACATTTTATAATTATACGTAAGATACCCAATTTTACTGTCCGGCTCCAATTTAATTTGTTTTTCATATTATTATTGTGACTGTTATTTTGGACTAATTTCAAACGTAAATCAAATTGGAACCAGATAGTTTGTTCGTGAGAACAATGTAACTTAATTTTGATAATAGAAAGACCAATTATAAAATAAGTTAAACCAGTCCAAAAATACAACAAAAATCTGATTCCGTCCTAATTTTATTATACTTAATGTTTATTATGGATCTCATGTGTTTAAATCATCTTAGGAGTAAAAACAATAAAAAAAATATCGTTAGTGCAATAATTTCAGAATCTGTATTTTTGATAACTAAATAAAACATTAAAATCATTATTATACTTTAAATTATAGTAGTAGTATCACTAATAAAAGAGTTACTTAAAATTATTTTCATTCAAATTTTATGTTTGTTTACTCCAATGTTTGTTTGTGTATAAAAAATTTGTTTTGTCAGATTTGTAAGGCGGATAAGCCGAATTTCTCAGTCAGATGGCAAGAAAATGTTTGTTAAGTTTGTTTGTTTAAGTACGTTAAAACGTGTCCGTGTTCCTATTATTTAAGATAAACAGAGCTAAGCAATACTTTTTGTATTTTTTTAAGTTCCTATTATTTTTAAATTTGTTAAGTTTTGAATTTATATTTTTTTCAACTAAGTAAGTTAAAGTGTTTGAGTTCCTATTATTTCAGATAAGTTTTGTTAAGTTTTGAAATGTTAATTATGCATGGTATAAAATATACGATGGAAAAAATACGAAATGATTTTATAACTACACCCCATCCCTAGCAGTACCTAATTTCTATGCGCCATGGGAAGTATTTTCCCGTAAAATCACTGCTTTTTTTAAAACGCTCATAACTTTTTAAATAAACAAAAGATCCCCGTGCTACGCCAGTTTTATATAAATAATAATATGATCTGAAGGTGAGTTAAATTTTGAAATCATACTATGAGTTTCCACGTCTGAAGGGACCTTCAAAGTCAGGACCTGGTACGGGAAAATAATAGCCGTAACGCAAAGCTGGCAATCTCGATACGGGAAGCATGTGACTCGTAACGCACAGTGGGCAAAATCGTTTTTAGTGGCGGCGCAGCCAATGTGTTAAATACATACGTCCTCCCCTCACTCCGCCGGTAATCAATGGCGTATATAAGTAGAATAAAGCCCCTATCCGTAACGATAGGATTTTTTAACGCTTACGGTCTCGCAAATCAACGTGATCAGGTTTCTGACTTTTTGCGTGACCATCAAATTGATATCTTTTTAGTGCAGGAGACCCTACTTAAGCCCGCGCGCCGTGACCCTAAAATCGCNGTATATAAGTAGAATAAAGCCCCTATCCGTAACGATAGGATTTTTTAACGCTTACGGTCTCGCAAATCAACGTGATCAGGTTTCTGACTTTTTGCGTGACCATCAAATTGATATCTTTTTAGTGCAGGAGACCCTACTTAAGCCCGCGCGCCGTGACCCTAAAATCGCGAACTATAACATGGTCAGGAACGACAGGCCCTCTGCTCGTGGTGGTGGTACCGTCATTTACTATAGAAGAGCCCTGCATTGCGTCCCGCTTGATCCTCCCGCGCTCGCTAATATGGAAGCATCAGTGTGCCGAATCTCACTGACGGGACACGCGCCGATGGTTATCGCGTCCGTTTATCTTCCACCGGATAAGATCGTTCTAAGCAGTGATATCGAGCCGCTGCTCGGCATGGGAAGCTCTGTCATTCTGGCGGGCGACTTAAATTGTAAACACATCAGGTGGAACTCACACACTACAACTCCGAATGGCAGGCGGCTTGACGCGTTAGTCGATGATCTCGCCTTTGATATCGTCGCTCCGCTAACCCCGACTCACTACCCGCTAAATATCGCGCATCGCCCAGATATACTCGACATAGTCATAGCAATTGTCTGCATGAAATCATTAATGCAATGTCTGATTTTATTTTCTGCTGGCATACTCTGAATAAATGGAAATGCAAACATGATGATCTTTTTCACCTGTAGTGTTAATAATTGATTTATTTGATATTTTATATCTCTTATATCTGCATTTCCCCTTCTCCCAATCATTATGATTATTGTTGTGTTA